TGTGTTGTCTTGCTTTCTTGATACAATACAAACATATAATTGCCTTGGAAAAGTGAGAAAAAGATTTTGTGGGCTTATTGTGAATGATCAAACTAAAGGCAGAGACAACACAAGTGATAGGACAGCAACACCAGAGAAGACAACAGGCAGAAGACACAAGGAAGAAGAAGAGAAACAGGAGACAGGAATGATTGAGTGGTTGAGCGGTTGAGCAAGTTTGATGATGATCAAAGTGTGGTGCGATTGAGAGTGATGGACAAACAGAGTCGTTTATAGAAGATCTTTGTCAAGGAGTTTTGACAAGTTGCGGAGGAATTGATTCAGTGGTAAGAGGATATGAAAGCAACTGAAGATTATCAATGAGTAAAAAGATGGGTCGATAGAATTCCACCAGGAGAAGAAGAAAGGAAAGAGAAGTCTGAGAGAGCAGCTTCCTTATACCCAAGAGAGTCTTGATAGAAAAGGATTGAGCGGAGTCAAGCCAAATTTTTTGCAGGGAGGAAAAGAAAGGGTCTGATTGTTTAGTCTGAGATGATGTCATAGCCAGATGAGCCGCTAGAGTCTGAGAGGGATGTCACTCAGATGTCAACACTTATTCCACCAAAAATCCTTTCAATACAAAATATATTTGGCCTTATCAATGAGAAAACAGAGACACATGTATTGTCTGGCATGGGCCAAGCCACTGAATCCAAGCAACGCTGTCACAGATACAATACACTGTATGTATCATGGAGAATTCTGCAAAGCTGCATGGCCAAAAACCAAATTTGTTGAATCTCCATGCAAATAAAAGCAGATTGGTCAGATAGGTTTTTTTATTGGGGCTCAGATACATAGTGATACATGGCAGATACATGGCAGATACCGTATCTGTGACAGCGTTGATCCAAGTCACAATGGATTGTCTCACCAACCAATCAAATACTGATACCAGGTATCAGGATAAAAACAGAGACAATAAACACCAATACCATAACATTTACTGTCTTGTTTTCAGTATGAATATGGCTAAAGCTTTGAAAACTCAAATTGAACTCAAGGAGCTAGAATTAAGATCCAACCTATCATTACAGTAATCCATAAGATTATTTTGAGTGTTGTATTAGAACTACATTAAAATAGTTTTCCTAAAAGTTCTGTTCACCATTCAGTATGAAACAACTGGAAACAGCTAAAAACACAATCCAAAATTTTTCTAACATATTTCTGACAAACTGAGGGAAATTTATTCTCAGGCCCTGCTTGGATGACATCATTATTCATCACAAATTTCATTGCATAAATCTATAAGAACAGTTTGGGGATTGTATTCAAACTACATTAAAATTTCAATTGTCACTTGTCATTCTACAACAGATGAATTTGGCATCATAAATTTCATTGCAGAAATACATGAGATTAGTTTGATGATTGTGTTAGAACTAACTTAAAAATCACATCACTCTCCAACAGATAGTATGGATAAATGACAGTTGAGTTCCCTACAGATCATGTGCACCATTCAGCTTGAACCAACTGGAAACAGCTAAAAATTACAATCCAAATTTCTTCTAACATGTTTCTGACAAGTCAAGGGAAAGTTAATCTCAGGCCCCATTTGGATGACATCATTTGGCATCATAAATTTCATTGCAGAAATACATGAGATTAGTTTGATGATTGTGTTAGAACTAATTTAAAAATCACATCACTCTCCAACAGATAGTATGGATAAATGACAGTTGAGTTTATGGATAAATTACAGTTGAGTTCCCTACAGATCATGTGCACTATTCAGCTTGAACCAACTGGAAACAGGTCAAAACCACAATCCAAGATGTTTCTAACATGTTTCTGATAAGCCAAGGGAAAGTTAATCTCATGCCCCATTTGGATGACATAATTATGCATCACTAGTAGTAAAACTGGAGTTGGAACAGACTCCAGAGCTAAGACCATTTTTGCTCAATGTCACTTGTCAAAAATTAACCATTTTTTTTCCTGGCAATAGTGTGATGTAGCACTGAAATTTGAACTTTACAACACACAATGCAGTTTCCAAACACAGCCTCAATCATTGCTTGCAATGTACCTGAAATACCTAATTAGCCACTGTAACATTGAATCCTTGATACACTTTTGACAGTGAAATTTGTATTTATATTCAGAAAAATGTGGGGACAATACTGGTGCAGCCAAGCTGCATAGCTAACTGTTGTGAACCTATTTATAAGGTTTAACTTTAAACATCCTATCTGATCTTTCCCTCCAACAACGCACAGTATCTTTCTTAGTAATATCTAATTAGGCCTGATAATTGAAGCAAACTTCACACAAAATCCATTCTCCCATTCCCATAAAAAGGTATGAAACTCTCAACACAAGATGTGTTAGTGACAAAATCACAGATAAATTTGTTGATTTTTCATTGAAATTGATTTCCATTTTTTTGGTATTCAGTCAATTCAAACAAACAAAATACACAATGAAAATTTGGAAGACATCACTTTTGCTCCTTCCTGTCCTGGTTGGGAGCATGATTCCAGATTTTGAGTTGCTTTTGGCTCACACATCAGATTGTACAAAAGCCAGTTCAGAAATAAATAACTATGAGCCAGCAATATGTCCGTCAAATGGATGTGGAGCTACATACTACAAATTAGTTGTGGCTTCTTGCCGTAATTGCATTGATCGAGATGAGGCTAGACCCCCAGGGTGCAGCCAGCATGGGTATGTATTCCACTTTTTGAAATTTGAAATTAAGAAAGTGACTGTGGTTTCAAAATTAAACTAACTATAATTTCTGTTTGGGAAGTGGGATTGTGAAATTGAAACATTACAAGTGAAGAATACATGCCCAATTTGAAAGGCTGTTAATCAGACTTTCTACTTACTAAATTCAAAACTTGACTTTGTTTGATTTCTTGCAAGCAAACAAGAATTTGAAAATAGAATCAGAAGAGCTAAATAAAGAAAACAAGACTGCTTCAAACTCCTCCATTTTTCAAGCCAAGGAAGGTCAATTTCTAGATCATGTTGTTTTTTAAAAAGAGGTTAAATCATTCATCAGATTTCATATCTTTATTCAATTTTGGGCCACAATACTTGTCACAATGATTGCCCCCAAATGTCTTTTATTGGCCAGTATTATTTTTGGTCTGGTTACATACATAGCCTACTTTGAAAAAATGCACTTCCAAAAATGAGCACAAAGCTTTCCACTACAAAAATTGATCCCAAGAATTGAAATTTCTTGGCTTCTCATCCTAAAAAAAGCAGTTCACACGTGTGTGATCATTATTCATCATAATCATCATCTGCTACACCTAGTTTGGATGATGGGCTGCTAATCTAAGCTGTGCTTTTTGCCAACAAAGCATTAGCATAGCAGGCTTTTTTTGCACAGAAATTGTTTAGTGTTAGAAAAATTTTAGCAGGATTTTTTGGTGCTGTGGAAGCTAATGGTTGCTACAGGGCCAAAATTCCGCTAATCAACGTGTCAGCGCAGTGTGGTGGGCAAATTTTGACAGCCTGCACACGTAGGGTTAACGCACATGTGGGTGAATTCCTCTACACTAAACTTTTTTTAAAGGAATTCCACAGCAGTTGATGTAACTGGCCCACTGTTGATAGTGCATGTGAATTCAATGTTATAGGCAGCTAAAACCGTACACTTTAAGATAACCAAGCAAATTCAATTTTGTGCTTATATTTGACCAAGGGGCTTGGTTAAACAACTCCCAAAAAGTGGAGAGCCGACTCCCAAGCCCTGGAATCCCCAAATTTTGGGAGTCAAACCCCCAAAACCTTGAACTGGTTTGGGAGTCAACTCACAAAAAAAATATTAGGGGGTATCAAATATAACCAAATCTACCATTATTTAATTGACTGGTTTGTAAAAATCCACCCTTTTTTAAACACGTTGGTTATTCATTTAAACCCTTTTGGGGCCCTTTGATGCAAAATTTTTTTTTGGGAAAATTGACTGGTTTCTGAAGGTGGATTTTGTATATTTGATACCCCCTATTAAAAAAGGGCCTTAATAAAAAAACGCAGTTTTTCCGCGTTTTGACGCGGTTTTGATGCGCCGCAGCACACGCGGTTTCCGCTTTTAGACGCGGTTTTTTAATTAATTTTTTACAGCTTATTTTTCGAGTTTTTTTGAATTTTTAAAATTGTTTCCTAGGTTTCAAAGCGCGTAGAATTTAATGGTGAAAACCAATTTCCATAAAAATGAGTTTTAATTATTAATTTTTTTTTTCTACTCATTTTTTCCATTAATTGTATGCATACATGTTTTTACCTTATTTTTCATGTTTTTTTGAAATTTTAAATTCATTTCCTAGGTTTTAATGTGCGTAGAATTTAATGGCGCAATCCAATTTTTTTAAAACTCAACGGTTCATTTATAATACTGAAATTAGACCCATTTTTTCACTTAATTTTTTACAGCTTAATTTTCATCATTTTTTGACATTTTAAATTAATTTCCTACACTTTAAGACATGTAGAAAATTATGGTATCAACCATTTTTCCCCAAGTTGAAAACTATACCTTGAATGCTGCATTTGACACGTTTTTTTTAATTAATTCCTCACTTTTTCACCTAATTGTTTGCATACATGTGTGTACCTTATTTTTTATGCTTTTTTGAAGTTTTAAAGTTGCTTCCTACATTTAAAAGTGTGTAGAATTTGATGGTAACATCCAATTTTCTTAAAACTCAACGGTTCATTCTGAATACTGTAATTAGTCATATTTTTCAATTGATTTTTAAGAGCTTAATTTTCACTAGAGCCCAAGGCGGCTGCGCCGCTGCCCTTCAATGGACCTGTTGTAGCAGAGAAGGGCCCAATAACCCACGACCCCCCTACAACTCCCGATAAACCTGTGGGTCTTCCTTAGCGTAAATTTCTATTGATTGGTGTTATCACCAAGACTATCAATCATGATTACAGTCCAACTTGGTTCCTTACCATGCCACTATATAACCGCTTGACTAAGTTTCCTACTACACTTAATCAACCTGCTCCACATCCACCAACATCCATTGTACTACCAACTTAATTTTACATTTGAATTGTCTCGTAGCCCAATCATATGGAATTTTTGATACTTCTGGCAACTTCAATCCATGCAAACTGGGCAAGTGTAACACATTAATTTTTAAAAATGCCGAGACACCACTATCTTACTTGCAAAGAAAATTTTATATTTGAATAGACACATCCTTCAATTCTATGGAACTCTTGACTCCTCTGTTAACTTTAACTTACACGAACCCAGGCAAATCATTACCTCAACAAAGGAAATTGTCAAAACACAAGTATGCATAAACCAACTAATTGAGGAAAGGCAACCTCATATTGATCGCTATACATATCAGTCATTCTGGCAATAAAGGTTTGCAGTCAGATTCAGTCTAGATAAGGCAGATACGGGAAACCTACTTACTTTTTCCCTTTAGCTTGAAGATAGCCCTATGCACCACATTGACCACTCCATCCCTGATCTTTGGCCTGACAACAAGTAAATTATTGACGTCTGAGACCCGTGATACCGCAACGTATAATTGACCATGCGAAAAAACATCTGTTTCCAAATATACTCCAACTCTAGAAAGGGTTTGGCCTTGGCTCTTGTTGACCGACATTGCATACGCTGGAGCAACAGGGAATTGATATCGGAAAAACGAAAGACCCGATCGATTGTTTGATTTATTGTGAAGTTTCGTCCGGGGTAAGGTTATTTCATTGCCGGCAAACGGACCCGACATTAATTTCCCCACGATGAACCCAACTCCAAAGATCAGACAACCACAATACGGGAGCCATTACACACTCCACCCTGA